TGTATTTGTCTAAACATTTATATGTGTGTGTGTGTGTGTGTGTGTGTTTATACATATACACACACACACACATATGAAAGTGCCTGTGTATAGTATTCTACCCTAGGTTCTCTGAAGAAAGACAAAATGAATAAAACATAGTCCTTGTTTCCAGTCTGTGCTTGATACATTGATACAATATGCATTTACACCCTGCTACCATTTGCCTCATGTTTTAGCCCTTAATAGCCATGCATTATTTTTTCTTTAAAAAAAATGTTTTCTTCACAGTTATCTAGGATATATTCTGAAATCGCTCTGTATCTCCCCTCTTGGGTGCCTTTCATTTTGGTGGGGGTGGCATTAGGGTTTGAACTTAACCATCTACTTGTTGGCTGGTGTCCTACCACTTGAGCCACTTCTCCAGTCTTGCTTTGTGCTGATTATTTGGAGATAGAATCTAGTGATCACAGCCCTAGCTGTGATCCCCAGATCTCAGGCATTTGAATAGCTAGGATTATAGAGGTGAGGACCTGTCTATTTACAGTATTTCTGTAGTTGTGAGGTACTATAATTGAGCATCCCTTAGTTTCTTTTAATTACCTTGCTGGGCTATTGTGAGGTGTGGTATACAGTCTTTATTAGATATATGTATTTTCTATGGTGTGATATCTTTTAACAGACAAGTATTTCTGGTTTATTAGGAAGCCACAGAATTAAGCAGTTGAGGAATGTCAGGACTGTAAGGTTCTTATTTATTTATTTATTTATTTTTTTGGTCTGGTCGTGGGGCCTGAACTCTGGGCCTGGGCACTGTCCCTCAGCTCTTCAGCTCAAGGCTAGTGCTCTACCACTTGAGCCACAGCGCCACTTCTGGCTTTTTTCTTTTTGCTTATGTGGTGCTAAGGAATCGAACCCAGGGCCTCATGCAAGGCAAGCGCTCTACCGCTGAGCCACCTTCCCAGCCCTATAAGGTTCTTTTAAAAAGTCGTCTATCTAATTTCTGATGTTTTAGGTTGATTATTTTGTTTCTGATGTCTAAGGTGTGGCCATAATATTGTGACCTGGGGCTTGTTAGAAGCAGTGTCTCCGGCCCCACACAGACGGGTAAAGTCAGAACTTGGATTTAAAAAAAATGCTCAGATGACCACATGAACAGAAAGGCCTTGTGAAAACTAGGAAAGCCAGACTCACAAGACTATTTATTTATTTTTTGTTGGTCATGGGGCTTGAACTCTGAGCCTGGGCGCTGTCCCTGAGCTCTTCAGCCCAAGGCTAGCACTTGACCACTTGAGCCAAAGTGCCACTTCAGGCTTTTTCCGTTTATGTGGTGCTGAGGAATCGAACCCAGGACCTCATGCATGTTAGGCAAGCGCTCTACCACTGAGCCACCTTCCCAGCCCAGGACTGTTTATTTTATCCCTTGACTTGGGAACCTTTAAAAATGCTGATACGTTCTGGCCCCTTTCCCAGACATTCTGCTCAGATTGGATTGTAGACTGGGCATCCGAAATTTTAAATCTCTCCAGATGATCTCTTGACTTGTCTAATGATGGAGTCCAGGTTTCTTGATGCCCTGACTAAGCTTTGAGGAGAACAACAAAAGTAATCTTGTTGAGTTTTCATAGTAATGGACCACATGTTTTTACTTAGTTTGTATCATGTATCCCATTAGAAATCATCCCGTTTACTGTATGTCTCGCCCTTCTACAATGTTCCTTTAGGAGGGCAGGACCTTTGCATGTGTTAGTTCACTGCTGAGTCTCAGCTCTGTGCAGTGTTTGGTATGTGGAGGTGCTCCTTTGTGTATGTAGACTGAATGGAAGGAATCACAGTATTACAGTAGGAGGGCAATAGGCCATGAAGGTACTTGCAGGGTTGCTTAAGCTGGAAGTGGAGGCCTCCTGAAGGACGTGGTCCTGCACCAAGTGAAGATTCAGCCCAGAAGAGCAGCAAGACTTTTGCTGCTGAAGGAGGACTTAATCACAGGTCTGTGACTTGCACATCTGCTTTTCCACTCTGTTGTATGATTCTGAGGGGCTTATTTTCCCTAAATTCTTCCACAGAGAAGGATGGGCCATTCCAGCTTTGCAGGTGTTTGGGGCTGGCATTGCTACTTCCTGCCCTGGAGCACAGCCATTGCGTATTGCAGAAAGCCATCCAGAGAGCTCAGTGTATGGTCCTGAGAAAATCCTTGACCAAGGCCTGCACATGAGTGTCTAATGCCACACAGCCCTCTCCTGTTTGTCTTCATTTTCCTGTGCTTTTTGGTTTGTTTTCAGAGCTTGGAGATAGGAATTTAGAAAGACTTCCTAAATTTTACTTTCAACTTTTGTGAGTTTTTTTCTTAGTTAAATTAGCAGTTAGGACTTTTGTTTATTTTGCCAGTGATATGAGGGAGTGTGTTGGTTTTATCTATGATATTTCTGCTATTTTGCTGTATTTCCACTAATTTGCTTAAAGAAAATTTGAGGTTAGGTGTGAGAGCCCTTTTTTTGTGGAGCCATTTATTAGTATATCACATCAAACATCTGTCCTAAGATCCATTGTTGCCATGTTTTGAAAAGTAGTCATGCTGTTGGTAAAAGAAGCCAGAAAATGTTAATCCTTGAATGGAAGACATTCTTTTTCGTATCACAAAACTGGTAAGATGTTGTTTTCTTTATGTGGCCAGTAGCTGTTGCTACTGACTAGCAAATGTTAGAGGAAATTTGGGTTTTGTTGGGACACATCAGCTTCTTTGAATAATAGCCTATATAGTCTATAGTTGTTTTTTTTTTTTTTGGCCAGTCCTGGGCATTGAACTCAGGGAATGGGTGCTGTCCCTAAGCTTTTGTGGTCAAGGCTAGCACTCTTATATTTGAGCTAGGGCTGACTGTAGTTCTGTGCCTATGATCATGGTTAAAATAGGTATTTTGTTCCAAGATAGTCATAATTTATGGGGGAACCTTGATCCAGATGATACAGTTATGGTAAATAATAGCCAGAAGTGGCTACTGTTGCTTAAATTAGAAAGACAAAGTCCTAGAACAAGAATTTTCCAGAAACAGAAAAAGAATTAAAGAGCTGATGGCTATATAGTAAGGAGCTGGCAGGTAGGAGTAATATTATGGGGAAAGATGGACTGTTTAAATTCTGAAAATAATTGAAAATAATTGGCCTCTTAGGATACAGTTGCTCATTTGATATGAGGGAGAAGAAAATTGAAAATACATGGAAGTCAACTTCAGTAAGATATTGTGTGTGTGTGTGTGTGTGTGTGTCTGTGTGTCGGTGTGTCCGTGTGTCCTGGGGTTTGAACTCAGAGCCTGGGCCTTGTCCCTACATTTTTGTGTTCAATGCTAGTGCTCTACCACTTGAGCCGCTTCACTTCCTACTTTTTGGTGGTTAGTTGGAGATAAGAGTCTTTAAAGTTGGTCTGCCAGGGCTGGCTTTGAACTATGAGTTTTGGATCCCCACCTCCTGAGTAGCAAAAATTATAGGTGTAAGCCAGGCACTTGGCTAAGTGAGACTTTAAGAGTTTTTTTGTTTTTGTTGTTTTCCTTTTTTGGCATAAAAATTTTAGGTAATCTCAGTTCTTAGAAAATGTTAAAGTTGTTAGGTTATGTTTATTAACCTAGTAACTATGTGATCCTTTTGAATGTACAGCACTTTGATGTATGTAACCCCACTTAATAACCTGCCTCCTCTTGAGATGTAAATGTCACTTTTTTTTTTTGATGAGGTAATACAGAGAAGTTAAGTTACAGTTACTTTTCAAGGACAGCTAATAACCTGCTGAAACTAAGTTCTTCATAGTTAAACATAAGTGTGATTATTGGACTTGTAAATTATCTTTTGTTTTATAACTTTCTGGCAAGAGCTATTATTTTCTTACTTTTAAAAGTTAACACTGAGGCCAGGTGCTGGTGGCTCACGCCTATAATCTTAGCTGCTTAGGAGGCTGAGATCCGAGGATCACGGTTCAAAGACAGCCTGGGCAGAGGATCACGGTTCAAAGACAGCCTGGGCTGTCTGTGAGACTGTTACCTCTAATAAACTACTCAAACAGGCTAGAAGAGTGCTGTGTCTCAGGGGATAGAGTGCTAGCCTTGAGCAAAAGAAGCTCAGGGACAGCACCAGACCCAGAGATCAAGCCCCTGGGACTGCCCCCCCCCCAAAAAAAAAAAAAAAAAGAATGATGTATAGATGAAAATTTGGAAGTGGCTGGGAGCAGAGATCTTCTTTCCAACTTCCTCCTGGCCTATTCCATCTCCATGTTGTTACCACACTGCTAGTTAGTGCTCACTGTAGATTCTTTTGTATGCGTCGGGTGTGGAAATGGTTACTAATATTGTTGATTTGACTGCAAAATGAATTTGACATTGACCTTGATTTTAGCAAAAATTGTTCTATGTATTTACAGCACATGTGTATTCCCGTTAAAAAATTACATAAATATATGTTGAATAGCACAGAGTTTTTTCACAGATGCACATCTGTTTTGAGACAGTTTTGAAACAAGTTTCAAGAGTTTTGAAACAATCTTAACCCTGACAATGTAAAGAACTTTTTCTGACCCTGAACCATTTGTGAATAAGTTGCCAATGTTTTTGTCATTCTCAAATCCTTACATATTTCTTACAAACAAGAACATTTTCCTCTGTAACTACAATATATCAATGAAATTTGGAACTTAACATTGAGGCATTTCTGCTGTAGAATCCTCAAATCCGGTTTACCTTTACCTGTTGACCTAGCTCAGACCTTTGTGATAAAAAGTCTGCCAGGCCTTGGGACACATTCGATTGTCTTTAGTCTCTTTCACCACAGAACAGTTGGCAGTGCTGTCTGACTTTCATGATCATGACAGTCTGAAGATTGCAGGCCAGTCATTTTGTGGAATGTTCCTCGTTTTGGATTTGCCTGCTGTGTCTTCATGATTGGATTGAGGTTTTGGATCTTTGGCAGGAAAATCACAGAAGAGCCAGAATATATCTTTTTCAAAGATTAGTTTTACATTTTATTTTCTGTTTCCTTAGAGCGTTTCCCAAAGTGTATTCTGCGGAACTAGCACCTACTGTGTTCTCAACACCGTGCCACCTCTAGAAGGTAGGATTTGAAAAAGCTTTTGACTTTCAGGAAGGGGTGGGCTTGGCAGTAAGAGGAAATCCATCATAGTGCAGTGGAAATATTCTCTGACCAGGACTTAGGAGGCCTGGGCTCTGCCTTTAACTGCTGTGTGATCTTAGATGAGTTACTTAATCTTTCTGGGGTAGCAGAAAGAATACTTTCTTCATTGATGATTACAAAAGGCTACAGTGGATCCAGTTGCACAGAAGGGTGACAACACTGCAGATGTTGGCTATTAATACAAATGTCCGGATATTAATCCTGGAGTCCGTCCAGTGCTAGGTGACACAGAGCAGTGTGGCACTGTGGAGGAAGCCACAGGTCATGCTTGATCCCATTTGAACCACTGTTCTCTGAAGAGTGGGAGCAGTTGAGCAGGGTCACCTCATGAGGTGAGAGTGAAGTGTAAAGTCTGTTCTGTGTGCCTAAGGTATCATACTAGAGTCTCCCAAGTGTTTGCCCCCTAATTAGAAGAAGGAACTAGATTCCCTTAATGACTTGCAGCTCAAGTTGGAATTGAATGACATAAAGAGGAAGAGGATGCCTTAAAACCTAAATTGATGTGCTAGATTTTAGGGCTTCTGTGTCCCTGCTTTGTTGGCCTGAATCCACATATGTGGATTGAAAATGAAAGTGCAAATAAATGTGTATTGAACCTGAGCTATAAGATGACTTAAATATGAAACAGTAAATTTTATAACATGATTGACAGGAAAAAGAAAAATCTGGGCCACATAAAAACAGAGTATGAGGTGTTGGTCACATGATTCTCTGAAGAGGAGAGATGTTAACTAGTAAAACTAGCTAAGTTTTCTACCTAAAAGTTCCTATTTTTTTCTTTTCTTTTTTTAACCTTAAAAATATTTCTGGGTTTAATTTACTTTGGAGACTGTTTGGAAAAGAATCATGCAGATTGATCAATGCTTGGCACATAGTTGGTGCTTAATATTTATTTTGGATGAGAGAGATTTGAAGGTCATAGGTTAGTCATAGCAGTATTTACCACTGTGCGTACTGTACTGACTTGAACATAGCAATATGTGCTTATGTTTTCCTGAATCAGTTCTTATCCTACTAATTAAATCTAAGCACATAATAATTAGAGCTAAACAGAAGATTGTTGAGCTTCCTTTTAATTTTACCACTCCAAGTTGTTGATCAAACATATTCCCAGTAAGATTTAGCAGTTGCATGCACAGTTACACCAATGCATTTTGAAAGTTCAGTTTAGAGGTTGAGAGATTAATCATAATCAGCTTGATTGAATTACAGTATTAGTCATTACTCATAGAACCAAAATTACTTAATTTTTATTAGGAATCAAAACAGAGGTATCACTTTTAGGTTTACAGCTAGTACAGCTATAATTTACCGTGCACAAGTCAGAGTGAACCAAGGAACAGGTCAAATGCATTTCTTTGGATTTAAAAAAAAAGATTTAGCAGTATGAATGCCAGTTTTTAGAAAGAAGACCAAAAGCAGAATTTCTACTTTTTTTCTTATTAACTAAGTGATTGAGCATTTTTGTACATTCTGGAAAGATTTAGCTAAATTATACCATGCCTCTATAATTATTATTTAGAAAATATTTGAAGGTTGACTAGAAAGGATGGTTCATTTTGTAGAATTATAGCTGTCAGCGAAGGAATTCATCTGTCAATTTCAAGGGCTTCACTAGTTACATTTTTATTGTGAAATAGGTTAGAAACTTATTTGTGAACTCATATATCACAGCATACATGTTTTGTAGATAATTATAATGAAATGTCTCCCTGTCGTTTGGCTGACACTTCAGTTTTGCAGTGTCAGAGTTTAACGATTTGGATTGATACTGAGATGCAGTGGAAACCAGTGTGCACTTTAGTTTTTTGTTAACTCAGGATACTGTTCTCAGGATTTAAACACTACCACGTGTCTTCAATTATTTAATCATTGATAGCAATTCTAAAAACATAGAATAGCAGCTTTTAATTAAGAACACTTTGATGCAGTATCAGCACGTGAACAGTTCTTTCTAGGGTAAAGACAAAGTTGCTCCTTATCACACATTGGCCAGAAATACTGAAATTTGAAAGTATGAGTTTTAACATTTTACCTTTTAAGTTCGTAATAATTCCTTTTCCAGTATTGAAATTGCCATCTTCATAATGCTCAGTGGGAACATTTACCCATTGTTACGTTTCTTAAAAACATCCCATTTATATTCAGTGTGAACCTAAAATTCTGGAAGTGGCACAGTTTAAAAACTGATGAAAGGGAACCACTGGCCTGTCATACTCCTTTTCCATTTTAACCCCTGGCCGAACATCCCCATAAAGGGCTATACTTAGAAACCTGATTGAGACAGCACTTGTACAGCATCTGCTTTTCCTCTTCAAAAGCCTTTGGGCTCAACCACCACGATTTGGTATCAGAGTTGAAGACTGAGGTTTTTCTATAGTGTGAGGTTTACTGTTGGAAGGAGACCTCTCTCCCTGCTTACACTTTATTTAACACAGACTAAAGAGACAGGGCATTAACATCAGGTTGTGATCATAAACAGAGATAGAAGCTAGTATTTAGTATTCTGTTCATTAGTGCTCAGAATTCTGCCTTCAACAAATAGCTTTCTCAGAGATAGGACCTTTCATATGCAAGCTGAGGCCCTAGCACAGTGTTTCATAAAAGGGACCTTGTAAATATTGACTGAATTGAGTATTGATTTAAGAATTTCACCTCTCCTTTCAAAATTATATACATCATGGGGGTTTTAAAAAGTGAGAGTAAAACCATTTTAGGGGTAGTGAGAAGGGAGGCGAAGGCTCATGTGATTTGTCTTCTGTGCGGTAAAGTTTTATGGCCCATGGCACCTCCCTTGGGAGGAGGAATGGCAGGGAGCTGGGCCAAGCTCATAACACCGAGCAGCTTTTATAGTGCATAATTAATACAGAGCGTCCTATTAGTTGATCAGTTGCTTTTTGGTTTTGAAGCAAGGTTTTTAAAAGAGCTTAATCTTAATTTTGCTATTAAAACTTTAGAATCTAAAAAGCAGTTAATATCTTAAGTTTTTTATCCTGCCATATAGATATATGATGGTGCTATAGTTCAATTGGTTATGCAGTTCATAGACTAAAAGAGATTTAGTATGCTAAAATTCTTATAAGTTTATACCTATAAAATATTCTATATGATGTAGTAAATATTTTTAGGCTATTCTATGCTCAATATTCTCCTTTTAAGGTCTTTTCCATGAGAAGAAATGTGTCAGTCAGAGGAAAAATGTTTGGAGTTTTGTGACCTTAGAAGATTTTTTTAATCCTTTTATGGTTTTTTCTTATTCCAAAAAAGTAGACCATGCTAAACAAAATTAAAGTAAATAGCTAGAAGACTTGATTGTTGTATTTTACTTTTAACATTTTTAGCTAATACCTAAATACCTATATAAGGTTATTGAGTTGTAAGGTATATTAAGTTGTTAAGTGGTAGTAAATTTTATAGGGATCTGGACTTCAAGGAGAATTAGGTGATCTCTAATTCTCTAATGAATGATTTGGGAAAACTGAAAATATTAAGTAACTTACCCAAGGTCACACAATTAGAAAGTAGCAGAACTGGGCCATATTCTTGGACTTTTCTTTCTGAGTTAAGTGTGTTTATTATATGTTACTAATATTAGAAAAAGTTTGAAACTGTCTTAACTGGAACAAATTCAGTCTTTACTGTTTTAATATGCTGTTCCTTAGTGCCTCGTTATGCACTGTACCTTTTGAATATGTACTGGGAGTTTCATTTAGTGTTAGAAACAATGGAGTGAGTAATTTGAAACTTTGACCTAAATTTGCCACACTGGCAAGGAATTTGGAGCCAGGCGAAGGGACTGTGTTACAGGAGTGGAATCCTATATGATATGTAAATAGATGACTAAAATAAATGTTTTATATAAGGAAATGGTCTCTTCTAGAAAGCATCAAGTAGACCCATTACCAAGGAGTCAGACATACCATCTAGTTGGGAAGTAATTTTTCTTTAACTTATTTGGAAGAGTTACATTGTAATGTAACACATTAATTGTACAGATATGTGCATGTAAAATAAGTTAATTACAATGGCATGTTTTTAGATTCAGGATAGACAGGCCAGCTTCTTTATTATGTGGTAGCTAACTGCTGGTTTAAGTTCCCTATAAGATTTGTGATTTGCTTTTGAATGGATAAATTTCATTTGTATTTGTAGAGGACAAAGTAATATTTAGTTTATGAAGAAAATAGTCATGTATTTTATAACTTTTTACTTAGAAACCTTTTCAACTGGCTCATAAAAGATTCTTGGGTTTTGTGAGGTTGAATCATTTGCATGTTTGATGTGCTTCATGGGAACACGGAGGAAGAACCTTTAAAGTAATGTCTGGTTGTGGGCATGCTGGAGCATTCCCAGTTCAATCTGTGGTGATGGAGCAGAGCTCCATCCCATTTTAGAACCTCATGGCCAGATAGACCCCTGCTGCCATCGGCTAAGTGTAGATGAGGTTGCTAGGAAAATAGAATAGAAGCCCTCTGCTGAAGCTCCTGGTCTCACAGCCACTAACCGGAGCTGCTGTTTCTGACCTTGCCAGTGTACTTAAAAGGAGGCTTTTCTCTTACTTTCTCTGAATTTATTGTTTTCTTCTTTATAGATGATCATGGGAACAGCAATAGTAGTCATGTAAAAATCTTTTTACCGAAAAAGCTGCTTGAATGTCTGCCGAAATGTTCAAGTTTACCAAAAGAGAGGCACCGTTGGAACACTAATGAGGTAGATAAATTTCTGTTTCTAAGGATATAATTATTTTAAGGGCAAACTTTTTAGGTTGTTTTGTACAATACTATATGTTAGCTTTAAATTCAAAATACTGAACTAGGAAATTGTCAATGAAAGGGATATTTAATCTGGATTTGACAGGAACTGACATGTCTCTTGATCTGTCTTAGATCTGCTTGGCTTGTGTTGAACATGTAAAAGGTGCATGCTGACTAACTAAGGCAGCATGAGTTTCTATGCTTGTGTCTTCCTGCCTATTGGCTTCTTGCATTGGTGGTTAATCCTTCCTGCTTCTCAGTTAAGCATTGGTTCTCTGTTGTTATGAATGATTAGTATGCAGCAATGTTTCAAAGACAGTCCAGTACTTTGGCAGTGGGAAATTCTGTAGGATTGGGAGGGACTGGCTTCTTACGAGCAAAGCAATATTAGTCCTTGCTGATGAAGGAAGCTTGCTTGGAGAGTTAACTGCTTTGCCTTAAATGTAGGCATTTAAAAAATTAGATCTGAAGGTTTATATAGTACCTTATATGTTTGGAATCCAGATAAAAATATATTGCTGAAGTAGAATGAACAGTTTTCTTCTTGGATGAATTTCCTTTTTTGGTAAATTTTAACCTGGGAATCTGAATATTAGGAGTGCATTGCTTTGTCTTCTTTTTTATTTTGAAATCTGAATATTTTAATTTAGAGTAATAAGTAGCCTTTAGTGCGGTGATAAGAATTGGGTCTGTGTCCATCACCCCTTAAGGTGGCATTAATTTCTGGGGTGGTGAGAATTGAGTATGGGTTACTGGTTTTGTCAGGTTGGTCTGAGTCCATTTCTGTCGCTGGTATAACTTTCACTTCCATCTTAGGTTAAAATGCAGCCTTGTATTCTTGATTGGCACTCGGTTTTGTTAGGACACGAGACGAGAACAGTGCTGTCTGTGAGTCTTAATCTTTAAAGACTCTTTTGTGCCAATGTCTTGACGCAGAATATTTTAGCCTTGAGCTGTGGGAGGTTATGTGGATGAAAAGTGTCTCTTTTTCATAAATTACAGTTTATAAATACTAGAGCTTTTAGCTTTGTTACCTCATCTCAACTGATTTTCAGCTTCTCTGAAGGTGTATATATTTTGATTATTTGTGTAAGCTATATTTGCCCTTTAGGGTAGAATACAGCTGCTTCAGAGACTTGTGTTTTACCAGCTTATTAACTGCCTTCGTACATTTTAGATACGGGAACAAAGAAAACATGCTGAAAATTAGTCTTAATCTTGGACTATAAAACTCACTAATATGGTATTTTCTTGGAAGCTTCTCAGTAATTTTCTACTAGGTTACAAATTATTTAAAACCTCAATATTTTCTTAGAATTCCCTGCGAGAAGCTGGGTGTTGGTGGGTCACACTTGTAATCCTAGCTACTTAGGAGGCTGAGAGCTGAGGATCGTGGCTCAAAGCCAGCCCAGAAGGAAAACCAGTGAGATGTTTATCTTCAGTAAATTACCAAAAGACTGCAAGTGGAAGTATAGGCTCAAGTGGTAGAGCACTAGCTTTGAGCAAAAAAATAAAAAAAAGCTCAGACACATTGCCCAGGCCCTGAGTTCAAGCCCCATGACTGGTACAAAAAAATGAATTAAAATAAAAAAAGAATTTCCCGAAACTTAGTTTTTTTTTTTTTAAATCTTGAAAAAAAATTACATTAGTAAGTTATATAGTGACGGATTTCATTGTCACTTGTCTGCATGGGTTTACGGTATGTTCCAGTCAGTCTCAGGCTTCTAGCACTCTCTTCTCCCTTCATGTGCAACAGATTTGATGCTATATTGCTATTAGTTTATAATGGTTAGAAGACATACGTGGGGACATATTTTTCAGTGTTATATTTCATATGGAATTGACAGTATAATTATGATTTAAAATTATACTGGAACCCAGAAATTGTTTAATGATCAAAATGTTGGCCTTAAAAGACTTATAAAAGTTGATTCTTTAGGGGCTGGGCAGGTGGCTCAGTGGTAGAGCGCTTGCCTTGCATGTCCTCAGCACCACATAAGCAAAAAGAAAAAAGCTGGAAGTGGCGCTGTGGCTCAAGTGGTAGAGCGCTAGCCTTGAGCTGAAGAGCTGAGGGACAGCGCCCAGACCCAGAGTTCAGGCCCTACAACCGGACCCCCCCAAAAAAATTTAAAAAAATTGATTCTTTAGATCTATGGCTTAGTTTAGCAGTTTTGGAACTTTTAAGCAATGTCCCTCATCTTTTACATATTAATTTACTTCTGAATTGTTCACTTTTTCCTCTTTGCTAATATAGTAAAAAGTGCCAATAAAGAATTGTTTTATGGAGGATGAGAGTTGTGTCTGTGTTTTCTTTCAGAACTCCGGTATACATACTCCTTGGATCGCTGGGTTGTTAAGGATAGTTGAGGTGGTAGAGTAAATGTATTATCTTCTCTGGGCTTGGTAAAATGTGAGGTTGGGGTCTGGATGAGGAAGGTGGGTTGCGCTCCGGAGAGTGTGCTCCGGCACTGCCGGTGGGCCAGCAGGGGGAGCACAGCTCACAGCTCACGGGGCCGCCACACAGCACCTTCTTCCAGTGATTGGCCCTGACAGTGGCCCGTCAGCTCAACACTGACACAGACTTGGAGGAGAGAAGTGAATGGAAAGCTTTCTCCATATTACTGTGTGAAGGACTTTGTTGTGATTTTCCTGATAATTAAACAAAAAAGTTTTTTGGCTTTAGGAAAAACAGGAATATTAAGTATGGCAGTGAAAGAGGTAAATTTGGAGCCGTTAGTTCTGTGTGGGGTTACTAAGGCTGCAATCCCCAGTCACTGTTTTTGTTTCTTTGCCTTTTTTGGAGGGACAAGCCCTACTGAGGTTTGAACTCAGGCTCCCATCCTTTACTAGGTCTTTTCTCTCCTGGCTGGCGCTCTACCACTTGAGTCATATCTCCACTTTGCTACTTAATTGGAGCTAAAAATGTTGTGGATTTGTCTTCTTGGGGTGGCTTTCAACCTGGATCCTCAGATTTTAGTGTCAGTTGTGAGGCACTGGTTATTTTGGGGATAGGGTCTTGCATCTTGCCTAGCCTCATGCTTGGACTTACCCCTCATATATGTATATATGTATTTATTTCAAATTTCCTCTTCTGGAGGGACAGGCATATGTCACCAGTCCTAGCTACTTCTGTTGAGATTGGAGTTTTAAGTGCATGCCAAAGCTGGCCTTGAACCTCCTGATATGGTCTCCAAAGTAGCTAGGATGACAGGCATACATCAGTGGCATCCAATTTCTTTGCTTTTTTTTTTTTTTAAGTAGGCTTGGATAATAGGAGGAGCAAAATAATTAGTACAGCTATTAAAGTACTTTCTTCTTTGCTCTTGCCGGGTATTGCCATTTTGCCATGTTCTTTGACCTGCCATCTGTCATGTTGACATTAAGCTAAAGGAAACCAAGTTCAATGGACTTGGTTCTCACAAGGGCTTTCTGGTCCCAGGTGAGGAAAATCCTGTGTAGTCATTGTTGCCTCTGAAATTCCTTGACTCGCTCACTCATAAAGTGAAATACAGTCTCACTGCCATTGTGGAGCCTGTTTTCATTCTGGAGCAGAATGGATAGCTGTGTTTTGGAAGGCCACATGAAGCAGTCGGCTCATATTGAGAACTGTTATATAGCGCAGCATTTCTTTCGATCTAGTTTCCTGGGACAGTGATCTTCCCCTGGCATAGACATGCAGGCCAGAGAGCAGTTGAATGCATGGCTGAGTGATGTTTATCATTTCACTCTTCACTGCCTGTCTGTGCGAGGTGTCAGCTGTCATCTTTCTCTGGCTCCCATTTTCTTTCATATCCCCCCCCCCCCCCCCCCACTGCCCTCCATGCTGGTCCTAGGACTTGAACTCCTTACCTTTCTCTCTCCCCTTCCTCTTGCTGGGGGTTGAACCCAAGGCCCTCGCAATGTGCTGGGCAGGTATTCTACCACCAAGCCACCTTCCCAGGCTCCAGGAGCTGCATTCTATTATTTGTTGTCTAGGCTATTAATCAAGACCCCATCATTCTAAGCTACATTAGCATGCTCAGCAAATCCTTTCTAAAATATAGTTTTGAATTAGAGTGAATTGAGGATTAGTATTTTGGGTTCATATCCAAGTGTTTGGTGAAGCTGAAAGTTTCTAAAAGACAGAGAGATTCTTGGCCTCTTTTCTAACCCATTGAATTACATAAAGTCCCTGCCCTTCTCGAATATTGTTTGTAATTGCAAAATAAATTAAAAGCTGTATCTAGAAGCAAATCAACTTTAGATTGTGCTTTCTCAACCACAGGCACTATTCTCAGCTTCTGAAGACTATAAAGATGATGCTCATGGTGACAGCAGTAATTATGGAAGCCAAAGTTTATTGAACGTTTGTTGTATAGTAGGCACTATTGAGTCTTTGACAATTAATAAATCACACTTAATCCTATGAGATAGGCTGGTTGGTTGTCCTCACATTACAGATGAGGAAACCTGTGCCCGTGGAGATGTAAATAGTGCTCCTGACTTTGGTGAACTGGAGATTAGAGAGTTAGCTGGGGTTGTTCAGTAGGGGATTAGTGAGTCCAGACCCCACAGCCTCTCTTTGGGAGTACATATTCCCTCCTTCCCTCCTCTTCTCTCCTGGAGTGCATTTCCCTTCCTTCCCTTTCTTCCATCCCTCCCTCCTTTCCCTCCCTTCCTCCCTTCCTCCCTCTCTCCCTCCCTCCCTCCCTCCCTCCCTCCCTTCCTTCCTTCCTTCCTTTCTTGGTCACGGGGCTTGAACTCTGGGCCTGGGTGCTGTCCCTGAGTCCTTCAGCTCAAGGCAAGCGCTCAGCCACAGTGCTACTTGAAGTACAGTTTCAAATGGATATTTTCCAGGATCTAACAGTTATTAGGATTTTCTTATAGGATCATTTGGCTTCTTTATCATTTGCATATTCAAATATTATATATACATAAACAATATGTTTTTGCATGGTGACTTTAAAAAGTAGCAAA